GAACAAAAAGGAGAACCGATGTCCAGTAGTGATAGATCCCCATAAGAAAAAGGAATGATAAAACATCTTCTCCCTTCCTGAGTGGATGGGCCAACAATTCTCCGAACTTTCTATTTGCCGCGAAAGTGCTCCAAACCCAAAAAGTGACTAAAGTCCGAAACGGAACTCAGGGGTTGAGTCTTCCCTTTGTGTTGATACTCCCTTGACACCAACAAGGCAAACAACAAAAACAATCATTCTATACCGTCGGAGTAACATACATCTCAGAGTGCTGAACGGAGGTTCTGGAGCAAATCTTCACTGTTCTTGGCAAGCTTGTTGTTTTAATAGTGCTTTGGTTCGGTTCATTTTTAGAAGGGGGGCTGCAAAAAAAAAACATGTTTGCTGCCACACCAAGGGTGGTGAAGAAATGGAAGTAAACAAAGACCCCGTTGCTCGCCTCCAGCAGCCGTCCCGCCCAGCGCCACTGGCCGCCCTCCCCGCAGATCTGTGCGGCGCTGCTGCGCCCGGCGGCGTCCGTCGCGTCCGTCGCGACGGCGAGGCCGCGGCGCCAAAGGCTGCAGTCGAAGGCGGGGAGCGCCGCGCAGAGGCAGAAGCTGGTGACCGCCTGGGGAAGCAGAAGGCCAGTCCGAACGAAACAGAATCTGGGCCTTAAACCATTGGCAGCCTTGGCATTCGACTCGCTTGCCCAAAGGTTCTGGAAAGAAAAGATGATATATCACCTTTTTGGGAACTTTGGCACCTTTAAAAACCCGTCGGTTTTGGAGACCTGAGTTCAAGTCAGGGAGTGACGCGTTGCGCAGCTGTTTTGGGCGCCGACCCCGCCTGATTGCCTTTCAAGAGCTCCAGAGACTTGGCCCACTGCCTTGCGGGGCCCAGTGTCTTTAGCGTAGCGCTGCAAATGTAGCTGTTCACCTGCACATGTGTCTCAAACTGGGGGACGAAACCTGTCCGTGGGCGAATCGGGCCCACTTTTGCCTCTTAAAAGAGTTGCTTAAAGGATACATCCAAGCACCTGTTGTTTTCTTGGGGATCCCACAAACCAACGCTGACCATCGTTTTGTTTTGCTGGCCCGAACAAAACCCTAGGAACTTTAAAGCGCCCGGTGGATGTCGCATCACCTCCAGGCCGGCATCACGCATGGAGTCCATGAGACTTACCCCAGCTGCCCAGTCCACAGAGCCTATGATGGAGCCTCGGGACTCGGGGACTCGGGCCGGAAGAAAGCTCCGCCGCGAAAAAAACACAAACTGCCTCAGGTTGACCTCGTCGTGTTTTTTTTCTTTTTAATCACTCAGGGACATCCCCCCTATTAATAAACTGGGGTTGATTCATATGGGGTCAACATCACTTGGATGTTCAACCTCAGGTAAGTAGGTTATAATCATGATCAAAACTCGTTCAACTGGGGCTTCACCTTATAACCCTACAAAGTTGGTTGAACACCCAAACAATGCACCCTCCACCAACAATCTTGAATCTGACAGGCGGGTGTTGGAAGACTGTCCCTGTGCACCGCGAAAGGCTTGCTTCGGGTCTGGTCCCAGACCAAACCGAATAAGTGGGGACCTCAGCTAGCTTCCTGTGCTATTCTCGGGGACAGGGGGGGGTGTTGAACGGATCTCACCCTACTCGCCCGGCCAGGGTGAAAATGGGATACCTTGCTTGCCGGCGTCTGGTTTCAGAGCTCAGTTTGCAGCCCATGTGACATGAACAAAACTAACAACTCAAAGACCTAACTAAATACATGAGAAACAAAACCGATGAAGGCATTGCTAGCTAGTTCCAAGACATATCCGTGTTGGTGGCTTCAAACACCAGCACTTTCACCCTGCTCAATTGCCGCAAAGGACCTGGAAATCAAAGGCTAATAACCTTTCAGGATCTTGACGAAGAATGGACCAACAAGGTCAAAGGTCGATTCGCTTTGGGCAACTGAGTCCAACGGAAAACGGGGCCCTGCTCGGGGTTGACTAGTTTCAGTGGGTCCCGAACCATTCAAAAGTGGGTTAGGAGGGCGCCACATCTGGGGTATTTGTTGGGCTATAAGCTCAACAAAGGACTGCTAAGAATAGGTGAGTTGTTGGAAAAGTGGATGGCCCTGGTATGTGAATCAGACCCATCTAAACCTGTGCCATCAACTTCTAATCAAGCTAACCACAAAAGGGTTACCTATGCTACTGAAAAGCAGTTGCCAAGTCGGAGAGCCCAGTCGCCATGGGGAAAACATGGCTCCCTGGTTTGGTTGGTGACTTTGAAGGGGATGCCCCCAAAAAAAGAGGAAAAGGAGCACTACTGCGTGGCGCACTGAAGTTTCTGGCCGCAAACTGCTGGCTGAGGAGCTGTACAGAATGTTGGACGTCTCTAGGTTGGTCCTCTGCATCGTCTGCGTCGCATACCTGACAGCGATAATAGACGGTCTAAACCAAAAAAAACTCCCCTGCAGACGGCTTTTGCTTGGGGTCTTGTTTTAAGCTAAGAAGGCTAGTTAACCCGCCAGGCTCACATGTGGCGATTCGATGAAGGTACCCGCAACCCGATGTTGAAAGGAAAGCTCAACCCACCACTTGTTCCCCAAGTTTCATGGATGGCTTCAAACATCTCTTGTGCCAAATAAAGTGAACATGGCTGTGACGCACTTGGGACCCAGCGCCATGTGCCGGGCCAAAGCCCGAAAGGTCCCCCGGCACAGAACGAGCCAACGTCCTCCATTCGAAGGCTGTGGCGGGTTTCCTTGTGGCTTCTCCTTTCACCCCAAGTGGCTTCGCCTATAAACCACCCGAATGGGGGTCCAGCATTTGGAGAACCCCTCATTCCTCTGGGCTGGAATTAGGAACCCTGCAAACAAATTGGATGTGTTTTTGCCTGGTTAGAGGAAAACACAGAAAACCTCTAAAAAGCCCCCCAAAAAAAGCCCCAAAAAAAGCAAAAACATCAAAAAACGAAAAGGGCAGCGAATTCGTGGGAAGATTCCCACGACTTTTGTCGAGGCGCAGGGCTCGCTGCCACAGGGACGCCTTCGTCTCAGCCTCTGCCACGCGGTGAAGGGCCGCCGCCGAGCCGACGCGCCGGGAAACGCTCCGTGCCAGCAACAGCGCCGCCAAAGGCCACGCTTCCTGGGAATTGGAGAAAGGGGCCGTCCCTGACCAACCTTTAAAGCGGAAACCACTGGAGGATGCGTAAAATTGCGTAAACAACGGCGGTTTACAAATGTTTCAACATAGGGCTCAACCCTATGGAGCCTAACAAGCTTACTCTGCAAATAAAAAGGGAAACAAAGTTATAGAAATGTAGGTCTTCCAAAAGGAGATGAACCCTTGTGCATGTTCTTCTGCGGGGCGGTGTGGCTCTATGGGTCTTGTAAGCGGGCTGGACAAACCCCAAAAAGATGCATGCAAAGATTCAACGCTGCATACATAGCGTGCCAAAATCCTACCCGGAGAACACGTATACAGAGAAGGGTTTGCCATGATCTTCACTTCCTTGGATTGGCCAAAGTCCCAACATTGGGAGTCATCCCGTCGGCTTATCGACTTTCCCGAGGCGCTCCTTGCAAGTGTCAGGGGAGCTCCCCCAAAACAACCTGGAGGTCTTGATGGCGCAAGGATGCATGAGTCACTGACTCTGGACAACAGTGTTGGCTGATAAGAGCCGGCTTATTGCAGCAATCTTGGAACCGATTCGCACTCACATGGACTCCAAATCATTTGGTGCAAGGGTAGCGTTCTTCTGAGCGCTCGAGTTGGCACAAACAACATGTATTCGGTCAAGTTGGTACGACCATCCCAACATAGAAAGTCCGTAGGTGCCTTTCCAAAAGAACAGTCGCCTTCCAGTGGCGCTTCCGTCTTGGAGGGCGGGGTTCCCGTCCTGGTGTCGTTGGCTTGACGGCCCTTGCTTGAATTGAATCAAAATGTAATCCTCATACGCCCAGGGATCGAAGGGAATCAACTGACCAGCGGAACCACTTGCTGGTGCTCAGCAGGCAACGAGGGAATGAACCTGGGGATTCTTACAGGAAGCCATATTGGTTTATAGGGGTCATTCCCTCATTCCCTCCTGAGCACGAGCAAGACCAACACAACAAAGAAGACCCCTGGCCGTCCAAGTCTCCGCCGCAGCCTCTTGCTCTGCCAGAAGGGCGTGGCGCCACGGCAGTTTGGTGCAGCGCGAGGGCAGGCTGCGATCTTGGCCCGCGGCAAAGGTGGACACGGAGAGGCGCCAGTCGTAGTGGAAACCGCCTGTCCTGAGACAAAGTCGGGCACTACCCACAAGGGTCGATGGTACTCTAGGTCCTCCACTAAAGAGGTTAGAATAAGTTGGTATCCGTTTTTTGTCTTTCCTTTTTTTCGTAGTCTATTTTAGTAGGAGAACCCTCCCCCCAAAAAGGGCAAAAGGGCACTACTGGAGGACCTAGTACCAATGATAAGAACAAGCAGGGCTCTCTTCCCAATATTTGAAATCAAAGAGTCCCCGGCAGACACCAAATCTTAACACTCATCCCAAAAAGGCAACTATCCAAAAGCCAGCTAAACAACAATCCCAGAAGCAACACTGAAGACACCGCCTCCCTGCCCCTTCCGCATAGACTCGGCCAAGTCTCAGACTGAAGGCCACCGAGTCAGCTTCTACAGTGGCCACCTGACTTTTGTCTTTTAGCTCCCCCGCTAAAAACAAGGCAAATCCAAGGGGACATGCTGCATGGAAGTGATAGCTTGTTTCGTTCCCCAAAAAGGGCAAACGTCTTACACTTCCCGTCCCCCCACCCGGTCACCCCACTTCCTGGCATCTTGATGCACACCTTCGCCATCGGCCCCTATTGAACATGATCAGAATCAAACAATATTAAACAAACACTAAGATTGGTGCCACTGCACAGGGACAAAGGCAATTGGTTTGTGCCACAAAAGTCGGACCCCCCCCCCCTCACTGTGGCGGGTTTCCTTTCGGCTTGCCTTCATACTCCCCCGAATAAGGGTGCACCTTTTGGTACCCTCCCAAAAAAAAAACAAAAAACAAGTCTGGCGAGACGATCCGCCTGCATCTGCCGCAGCATGAGGTAAGGCGCTCGCCATCCGCTTCCGCCCAGCGCGGAGGTGGCGGTGTTGCCTCGTGAAACCCGGCAAATCCCATGGCAAAGGGCGCGGCTCGCCTTCGTCATTTTGGGGTGAAGGAAACAACGGCAAAGGTTCCCTCAAAACCCCCGCAACAAAAAAAAGAGAGAGAAGGATTCAAAAAACAAACGAAAACCGAGAAAAAGAAAAAACAAGTTCAAGGAAAAACAAAACAAAACCGAAATCCATGAATTGGAGGGCCGGATGCCCTAAAGATAACCCAACTATGGCCCCTTGTTAAGGAACCCCCAGAGACATCAAGGCAATTTGTTCCCCTTGGGTGTGTTAGCCATCGTCTAGACTCATTTCCTCAGTGGATTTGCCAAATAGAAAAATTGTCCAAACTCTATATTTCAGTGCTTCCCATGTTTTTGAAGTCCAGGAATTTTCAGGCATCGAGGCTCGGAGCAACTCTGCACATGGATCACGAGAAACACGAGGCTCAGATTCGGATGCGCTTTGGACTGGGAACTAGCTTAACCCGGTTGCAAATAGTTCGGTAGAAAGAGGCGACGTCTTTTTGGAGTTTATCATCCTGGGCACCAACTAAATAAGGGGCTGGCATATTACACATGAACACCACATGTTACCCCACCACTTGTGGTTTCCCTTTGGGAAACTGGACAATAACAACAAGCAAGCTAGTCAGCACCCAGCATCTTTAGTGGAAAATCTCCACTTTTGCAGGCTTCCCTAGCCTTCGGAAAAAGTCGCGTGGATCAATGAACAACAACTCGCGCTAATCAAGGCGATTCTAGTGAGTCTGTTGGTTTTTTGGGGTTGGATTAAACGGAAACCACAAGAAAAAATGAATCCATCATTTGTCGAGGAAATCTCCTTTTTGGTTCTCTTGGGGGGGGGAGGTGGTGGCAAGGTTAACACAAGAACACAAGAAGGGAAGGCTGGCGCCAAAAAAATGTGCAAATCCCCCTACCCGATTTCGGCTCTAAGGCTCTGCTCGAACCTTTGCTGGAAGTTCTCCAAACGTGTTCAACCTCCTAAACAACAGTGCGGATGTGCCCATGAGAAGGCAAACCACATGGTTAAGCTATTTTGTTCAACCAACCTCATGTTGGATTCTCTTTAAACGGGACCAAGGGGTGGTTGTTTCAGAAAATTTGCCCAACTTTCAAACAAACAAACCTTCCCAGGAGAAAACACGTCATGTTGAGAATGCTACAATAACATGTGCACTTTAACTCGGCCGTCCTCAGATCCCCCACTAAAAGCTTAACTTTTTGTGAGATGGAAATCCCCACTAAACAGTAAAAAGCCAAGGGGATGGCTTGGAACCACCCAGTTGAGAGACTGCACAACTCATCACAGGCGCAAACAAACGTGTTCAGCTCACACTGGACCACGCAGAACTTGGTGAACATGTCCAGCGCAGCTTCCCAAGCCTTCCGGGCGTTGAGGGACTGCTGGGGTTCCCCAATCTCTTTACTTGAGCACCTCTCACTGAAAAGAACTCCCTCCACATTTTGGAACACTGACTCAAACTGGATGGTAAAACTAACTTGCCCAAAAAACGATAAGCCCGGTGAGATCTCCAACAGCCCCGGAGCCCCCTGGAACCCTCCAGAACTCCCCCCCCCCACCTGAAAGCTGCCTCAAAGCACCCCGAACGAGCCTATCTGGGCAGAGACCAAATCCATAGCTTTCAGCTGTTGGTTGGCAAAATGGCAGGTTGACGTTTGGCAACCTTGACTGAACCTAGATCAACACATGACACCTTGTCCCCTGCTCATGTGGTGTAAGCGGTTCGGCACCTGCGTGCAAGGTTGATTCTGCCGCATGCGCTCGACACACATCCACACTTAAAAGGGTGCCTGACAAACAAGATATGGGGCTTCTCGGGAATTGAGGAAAACCCCGCTGGTGATCCTCCGAGCTTCCGACCGCTGTACACCCTGCTACCCCATCCTTCATGTGGATCCCTCAGCCCATCTCAGCCCCCTTCAATATTGGTTCTCATCTCCGAGAGCCTCGCTGTGATTCCCCAAACCAACTTACAAAAAGAAGACAAAGAACAACCCCATCCGAGCAAGGACGCACAAAAACTTGTTCTGCGACCCCCCAACCCCTGCAGCTTGTGCCCCTATTTGTCTCCTGTACATTGGCTTGTGATGCTCAAATCGAAGCTTCAAGGGGAAATCTGGAAGATTGTCTCAAAATGGATTTTGGACCCACCGTTGAGCTTGTAAAGGGACATCGGAACACATTTAAATTTAAGGGTGCCAACCCATTTTAGGGGACATAGTGACATATTCCAATTTTGAGAAGAACCCGCACGACTAACCCGTACGACTCCCATCGGATTCTTGGAGGACCTAGGGTTCCCATTCGGAAACCCCAATCAAACCAAGCAAGACTATGACGATATTGACAGAAAAACAGTAGAACCCGAGAAACCCCTCACAGTAGGGGGCCTAGTTATCACTATATGTATCCAACAAATACTTCTTTTATTTTGAGAAACCGAAGACACAGAACAGTTCCCGGGGCCTCTTGGCACGCGCTCATTGCCGAGGTAAAGCTCACCTCGTTGGGCGGTGGGCTCTTCGCGAGGAAGGCGGCCGCCGCACGCCAGCGGCCTGACAGAAACCCCACTGTGGATATATGTGCATTTATCTAGAAACATGTTAAACCTATATATATATATGTATGTATATATATATATACAAGGGGAAATCGATGTGCAGATTATCTGGAAAATTATGAAAACGTATAGAGAAAGGGAATCTGAACTTGCATTCATTTGGACTTTGCCTCCTTCTCCCCGCGGCCGGCTTGAGCACCCAAGCGCCTTCCATGGCGGCGTTCATGGCGGGCCGGCTCAGCCGCAGCCCATCTCTCTCGGCCAGGTCCATCCATGCCAAGCCCGCGCGCCAGGAGCCGTGGGACGCGTGGGACCTGTGGGACTCGTTACGGGTCGCGCAGGCCGATCCGATGATGGCGCCGAAGTTGGTGATGTCCAGCTCAACAGCACCTAATGTCGACTTGCTTCGAGGGTATCTTTATTTTGGGTTGGCTAAAAAGAACACATCATGTGTATACATAGTGCATACATGTTAGGGAAATGGGTGTCAAGCTTAATTGCGGACCCTTTGGTTGAGGAACCCGAGAGTCGTGAGGGTTCATGTTTCTCATAAGGGGGGATTTCATATGTTTGCTTCCGATTGAACTTTCACTGAAAGAGGGGTCCACCGTTTGACACCAAACAAATGCCTCGCCTTCATCTCAGCCCACTCCCAAAACCAGATTCTATACAGTGATGGACTTCCAAGGGGAGCTATGGCCTGGGCTATCCTCCCATATCCCCCCCCTTGGATATCCATGGGCATGCAAGCAAAGGACATGATCAAACTCAGCAAGCAGGCAAAGTATACAAACATAGGAACATTGAGGGTGAGATGCAAAGGCCCTTGGCAAAGGACAGAGTGGAATCTGACCAATCTCACAAGTGAATTAAAGGACCCGGTTGAGCAAAATGGCGCCGTGTGACTAGCCGACCCCTTTGGCGCACTTAGGCTTGAGACCATGATTGATGGCATACCTGCCAATCGGTGGTCCAGAACCTATGAACCAAACAGGGAGCCGGCGGATGCCCTGAACAACAGGAGACAAACCAAGTGCGTTAAGTCAACCGCCATGCCAGCGGGGGGAAAGCTTGCTTGTTTATGTTCTTTGTTTTTCGCTTTGTCTCCTTTCATTTGGCTCTGCTTGTTGCTATCCGCTCACTTCCTGAGTGGATCGGCAAAGAAACCACAAACGTCCAAACTTGCTGTTTGCCACTGTGAGTCGTCTTCCCACAAAGCTTCAAGCTCCGGCTCTGCGCATTTTCGACTCTACTGCCCGCTTAAATTCCATGCCCAAGGCACTGCACCGGGCGTCTTTGGCCAGAAGCAGCGCGAAGTTCCATGTGGTGCCAGCGCTGTAGCTAAAAGCCTCGAGGCTTGCACTGTGGAAAGCTCTCAAAGCTTAGTGGTTCGTTGAGCCTAGAATTTGGAGGTGTCACAAATCCCCCTAAACTCTAGCAATCTAAACTCTAGGCTGGAATTAGGACCCCAGCAAAAAAAATCATGGTTGCCTGGTTAGTGGAAAACAAAGGGACCCCAAAAAAGCAAAAAAGAAAAAAGGGGAGCTAATTCTGGGGAAGAACTCTAGAAACCGGCTTGGATGCGCTTTTGGTGGATTTCACCTGTTCTTCCACCTGTAGGTTCTTTTTTAGTACTGTGTTTCTTTTTGATATCCTACAGGGGTGGATCCCCCAAGACGCTACATCCGAACCCCTTTCTAGATAAACGTGTATGTGTATATATATATAGAATATACATATGGGCATGGCTGCAAACCGCATGTGTATATATATATATATATATATATGTGGACAGGGCCTTCTTCATCGAGCGGCATCTGGCAGCAAGGCCACAGTGGACATGCCAGCCAACAGCTGCATCACATGCACCCAAGCTGTGCAGCTGCCAAGCACCACGTTGTGAAGCCTCACCTGCAGGTTCACCATGGCAGGCAGGGTAGACATGTGGCCCCAAATTATAAGCGGGGATGCTCTTGCGCGAATACTATAAATCTTCAACGGCTCCTAAAGACAGGCTCATGAACGTATAGGAACCCCATTGAAGGGACGTGTTCAACCAAGAAGCCAGCAATGATGGTTAAGTGCCACATCAACTCACATGAGCGAACCGTGGTTTACAGTGAAATCAAAAAGAAAACTTTTTTTTTTGGGGGGGGGTCCGCGAAAACCTACTTGCGATCAAGATCCATGAAGGATACTTAAGGGCCGTATACCTCCTATGGGTCTCATATGAACAAATACATTCAGCCTTTGAATATGCCGAAAGAACATCGGCTTCTGCAACACATGCGAGGGGAACTCTTTCAGATAACCTCAAACAGCTATCCTCAAGCACCCCCATGTCCATGTACAGTTGGATTCATGTGTTGTTCTGTTGAGCCCACCCCCCTATTGGGTTTCAGTAGCTCATTGTGGAGTTGGAAATCTGACTCGCAGACTTGGGTTGCCAAGTTCGCTGCTTGCCGGCGAACGGTATGAAGGAACCCAAAAAGGCACTGGTAGTTGTTTAGTGTCTGGCGAAACTTCGACCCTTTGGGCAAGTCAAAGAATTGCGACTACCCCTCGGGTTGCTCCAGCGACATCTTTTCTGAAAAGAGCTTAGGTCCTACGGGTTCCAAAGCGAACAGTTGCTGTGGGCACAGCTTTGAGCAAATGTACGCAAAAAAAGGCAACCAAACTTCCAGTTGCCTAAGCTTCCTGAGGAAAAAACACATGTATCTGTCCAGTAGTGAAATCGGTTCCCTTTAAAGCATTTTACAAACCAACAAGGGAAAACAACAACATAATATTCATTTCAGCAAATACAAGCTGAAATATTGGCGAAATCTCATACTTCCCCAAACAAATCTCACTCGATCACCCGATCCCATGCCTCCTGCGGTTTCTGGAACTTTGCCAGCAGGGCGCTTTGCCAGGCCTGCGGATTTTTTTGGTCTGCGAGCCAACGGCGAGCTCTCGCGTCGCGGGTCGGCCCCTTCGGCCCCGGATCGCCCCAAGGGGCCAAGGTGAAACCAATGTCTCGACGCCCAATCTTATGACCAAATCAACAGGTGAAGCCGAGATCTTGTCAGCTGACTTGCTGATCCAATTCCTTTTTTCAAAGGATTTATGGGTGGAAGCGCTGGTTTGCTCTCCTATTCGCGTGAACTCGTTCTAAATTTGCCTGGCTCACTTCCTCAGTGGATTGGACAAAACGTCAAAGCTGTTTGTTGCCAAAAAGGACCTTCCAAGAAAGAGTTTCGAGTCCAGTTCGGGCTGTGAGCTAATCACTCCTTCGAATCAGCAGGTTTCGGGTAAGAACTATTAGGACCATTCCAAGTATAGTTTTCCAGGGTCCGAAATCAAAACAAGTCAAAGTGTGGCTTTGGATGAGTGAGGGATGGCGTCTTTATTGAAATAAAACCAACAAAGAAAACCGAAGCCATCTTGCGGTTCCGGAGGAGGCTGGCTAGGGCCAAACACATGCGGATGAAAAACACATGAAATTGTCCCAAGAAGCTAAGTGCAAAAGGTGAAGCAAAACAATCGCGAAAAGAAGCAGGACAAGAAGGAGAATGCGGATGAACAACAAGGATACTCACAACAAATGCAAAGTGGGGGGCAAAGAAAACAGCAATAGCACAGCATGCCCTGACACACAAACAGCAAATGACAAGAAGAACAACAAGATCCCTTGGTTTTGAAAAACACTTGCCAGTTTATTTGCCTTGTTGCGCACTTCCTTTTGCACTTGTTTAGTCGGCAACAATTTCAACTCTCAACCCAAAAAGAGGAGGGTTCCCCCACACGTCACATGGTGCTGCCCCACGTCCCAGCCGCGCTGTTCGGCTGGCCTTGGCGCGGCTTTGTGCCGTGAGCACCGAGGTGTGGCTCTTAACGTCCGGCAGCGCGCCTGGAGCTTTGGGTGAGGAAAGTTTGGGTCAGATCCAGGTGCAAAATCGGGGTGAAACCCAAACCAGAGGGTTCTTTTCTGGCTTCAGGGCTTCTGGTTTTTGGGCTTTAGGGTTAGCCCAACCTGTTTTGTCTTTTGGTTTTAGGGCTTTAGAGGTTGTAGGCTTTGGGGTCTTGGAGGGTTTGAGAGGCTGAGCTTGCATGGTGCTTCAGCGGGTTGGCGGAACCTAATTGATGTGACCTCAGAGAACCCGTGTAGGACAAAGGCTGTGCAGGAATCATGGCAGAACCCGGCTTAGCTTCTTGCTGGCTCAAGAACAAATCTCCCCAAGCAAAATTATGACAAAGGGGATACGGGTTCGGTTCCTTCCACCCGACCGGAACAGTGTACTTCTGGGCAAAGAATCGGCCCCTGTCTCGGGAAGGGACGCCATTTGGAGGTGCTCCAGGGTGGTTCCCACTTACCTTACCCTCAACAAGAACCAGGGGTTCAACCCCCCAAACCAAAAATCCAAACCACCAACTAGGGGTCACCCTCCCACCAATTGACATGGAATCTGACAAGGGGGGTCCTGAAAGACAAGTTTCCTTGCAAAAGGACCCCCCCTTGTCAGGCATGTTAATTGGTGGGAAGGTACCGGACCCTGTGATTTAATCATTACTTTTGCCGGGGTCGAGATAACTCAACTGTCCGCACACGAGTACCGAGATCCTTTTGTAAGCCAAGCTCGGTTTGCAGAAGAAGGATCTGCACCCTCCGCATAAGTCGCGCTAAGACGCTTGGAAAGTGCCAAGCAAAAGAAACAAACCAATTGAACCCAGCCAAGCCCTATCAAACAACAACGAACACACAAACAAGCAAACAAGCAAACAAGCAAACAACCAACCAACCAAACAAGCAAGCAAACAAACAAACCCACAAAGCAAACAAGCAAACAATCAAGCAAACAATCAAGCAAACAAACCCACAAAGCAAACAAGCAAGAACAATCAAACAGAACATACAAACACAAACGATCCATCAACACAAACAAATCAACAAACGAAACCAACTCAACCCACCAATTCAAATCAATCAATCACATCAAATCAAAACACAGAAAATGAAACAACACCAACCCACCAACCCACCAACCCACCAACCCACCAACCCACCAACCCACCAACCCACCAACCCACCAAGCCACCAACCCACCAACCCACCAAGCAAGCAAGCAAGCAAGCAAGCAAGCAAGCAAGCAAGCAAGCAAGCAAGCAAGCAAGCAAGCAAGCAAGCAAGCAAATCAACCATCCAACCAAGTCAAATCAAACAAATCCATCGAATCAATTCAACTCAACCCAATCCAAACAAACAAGCAGAACCCAACAAGCCACAACACAAAACTGTACAACGGACAAAGAAAGGCGGAATCGACTTCTCGTTTGCCGAGGTCGAGCCGCTCCAGGCTTCGGCGAGGGTTAGCTTATGGAAGCCTTCCTGCCAGCTGGACTGGGAGAAGGTGTAGATGATGGGATTCCTCAGGGCCAACTTCCCCCTCGGTTTGGAGTGGTTTGGAGTGGTTTGCTACATGGCAAAAAGGGCTATGGCTCAGCTTCCCTTTGGTCTGAAGTGGTTTGGCTTGGTTTGGAGGTTCAAATCGCAAAATAAACACAGCTAAGCTTCCAGTCATCTTGGCTTTTTGGGTTAGTGAAAACAAAGAGACCTCAAAGAAGCAAAAAAACAAAAAGGGAAGCTAATTCTGGGGAAGTAACATGTGCGTACTGGGATGAGCGTGGCAAACAAGGAGCCGCTGAGAGAGTTCCAGTTGTGGATTTATGAGGCTCCGTTCTTCCTGCGGATTCCTGAGGTAGGTGTGGAATTTAAAGGCATGTGGGTGTGTCTTCTTTTGAGGGTACCCTGTTCAGCTGGTTTTAAAGAGAAACCAAATGGAAAATCCCAATTTCGAGGATTGCCTGATATTGAGACAAAGCCATGTTGGGAAAATGGTCCGAAAGTTCAAAAGGGCATCATGTCAGTGGGAGGAAGGGCAACCACAGTCGCCTCCTACCTTCAGAGTGTTCGCTAATGTGGGCCCGGGATTTATGAAAAAAACAAAATTATGGGGGTGTTCCCCTCCAAAACTGGTCTAAATCCCCACTAGCAAGGGACAACCCCCACCAACAACAAAAAAACGCGCTCCATACTGCACACAGGCAGGCTTTAGCCAATCGCTTCCGGAACTTGCCTAAACCGCAATCTAAGGTGTGTTAAACCAAACCTGGGGTCCTGCCCCCCCCCCCCCCCCCCCCATTTGGGGCTTGTTTCCAGATGGGCCCTTCTTATTATCTGTGCTTCAAGGACGGATCCAAATGACGGAAGAGGAATGGAACATGTGTAGATGATGTAAGAGGTGGTGTGTGCAAGAAAAGATTAGTGAGTGCATCCTCTTTCATCATCTCTCTGTCCCATTCACTCGCTGTTGCCAACATGAAGTACATGGGATTAAAAGAGTGATAGCAGTTGGCACTTGGCCACAGAGAGATAGATAACACGAATTGGACTGCTGAAGGACGAAGGTAAACTGATATGACACTGAAGAAATCATCAAATATCAACAACTTAGCATAGAATTCTAGGTTTGAAATGCAGGAAAACTGGAGAAGCTAGAACCCTTGCAATCTCATGAAATGCTTCTCTCGGAAGCACATGAAAACCAGACTAATGCAAAAGAACGGTGAGTCTCTGGTCTTCTTTACGTCTATCTCATTCATTGATTATCTTCTTATTAATTATCTGTTAATTTCGTGTTCCTGGGGCGTCCTTCTCCTGTGACACAAAGCAAAACCAACAATGTTGAACCCTCAGGGTTTCAGTGTGAAACCAGCGTGCAAGGTACATTTTCCCACACCCTCAAAACTCGCTCGCTTCGTCCGAGGCGCCAGTGGTAGATGTTGGTCTCCACCTCGTTTTGTCGCATTTGCTCCAGGACCAGCATCGCCAGCCGGGTCCTCGTGTGGACACGAGCGTGACCAATTGTGACGAAACAAATCCACCAGCAAAAGGAAGACCGTTCGCACCAATTATACAACATGGAACCTGACAGGCTCCTGAATGTCTTTGTTTTTTTGGGGACCCCCTGTCAGGTTCCATGTTAATTGGTGGGAGGGTATGTATCCCACCTAGAGGGGAATTGTCGACAAACCTCACATCGAATCGCAAATACTGTGGACGGATTCGCACCAGCTGGGATGGAGAAAGCCCTGAACCACCTACCAGCCGCAGGAGTTTGACCATCTACAGTATCTGCAAGTTCTACAAATCCGCAACCTGAAATAGGACCCCCTAGGACCTACATCATGTCTTTCCCGTTTTCACCCCTTTTCCGATGAGCTTGGAAACCCACACAAAGGAAACAGTGCACGGCTCCGGGTTGTGTGTTTTGCAACAACTTCGCAACAAAATGAATGATAATCGAAAGCCTTACATTTAAAGAGAAAATCCCCTGGTATCACGGTGGGAGACAGTGATTCCATTCATCGTGGCTAAAAACTACTGCAACAGGGCGGACTGGGATCCTTGCTTAACTCAAATGATCCAGTAATCAACCGTGCAATTTTTTGGGACCGTTTACTAGACACTGGCCATTGCCTTTTGGTTTACCACGGCCATCAAATAGCGCCTCAAGTCCATGAAGGTCAGTGAGAATCAGGCACACCCAAAGCTCAGATCCCTTCGATTCTCCTGAACCGCTCGAAAACCCCCGCCGGCTCCACCCAAAGGCTCAGATCTCAGATCCCTTCGATTCCCCTGCGCAGAAAAATCGAACTCCGAAAAATCGGCCCCTCGCCTTCGCCGCTCCGAGAGCCTCCGCAGCACCAGGGTGGCCATCTGTGGCTGTCGCCGCCAGCGGGGCCAGAACTCCTCCAGCGCCGCGGCCACCGCGGACGCCGTTGGCGCCTGGGCGGCCCCGGGCCCCCGTCGTTGGGGCGGTCCGGTGGTTTGGTTCACCGCTTGGCCAAGACACAGCCAGGGTTTTGGCAGGTCTAACACGTTCCAACGAAGGCCTGGTTTTGTTGCGGCTAGGACCTGAGTTCCGGTTCATCGGCAAATGAGATTTGTTTTTGGCAACCTCAAAGCCCATGGAAAATCCGCTGGCTGTTGAGAAAGATGATGGTTGAAAAACATGTGTTGAATCGACCCCTAGTAATTAACAACCATTCAGGGTTCCTGGTGGTTTGATCAGCAACATTGGGTTCGTGTGATATATGCGTCCCCCTCAAACATCACCTCACAAAACTGAAATTCAATCACACGTGGCAGTTAAAACGTGATGTGGCAAAAATCACGTTGCCCCGCCTTTCCCTTTCGCAAATGCTATTTTCAGGTGCTCCAAAGAAACATAGACCGTTCATAGACCCCACCCTATTTTGGGGTCCCTATGTGACTCGAACCAGGGCACCTCTGCTGATTCTGCATCAGGCTTTTTTGGAAACAAGTGAGGCCCATTCAGAACGCTGAGGGTTTACCGGGGCATGGTTTTCTGAGGTTTCCACTAACCCCTTTGGGCTTTTCCAAACCCACTTCCCCACTTAGGGAGATGCTAGACTCATGCGGGCCATGCGGGGGATTCCCCCACTGTTGTGATGCCCATGAAGCTCCTCCCCCCCCTCCTTTTCAAGGACAGCTGAGTGCCATATAGACAACACATGTTCTTGCTCCAAACGCCAGGGGCCATCGACATGAATTTCAGGGGGTCCTAGGTCCCCCCCAAGGGTGGGGCTATCCAAACGGGTGCTGCTGCAAGTCGAGATGTGCTTGCTTTTTTCCTCTCCTGACCCTACCCAAAGAGCCCTCTGAGCCATTGAGCCTACAGCAGGCATTTGAACCACTTGTATCACGTTTGCTACCCAGCCTCCGCCAAAATATAACTTTCAGACAAGCCCACTTTCCAGTTCCATTTTGTGGGCCCCACAAAATAACCTCCCGGACGCTTGCTCGCTCGTAGGCACAAATGTTGGGAGGAAACTGTTGATTCGTTTTATGCGGGGTGGGGGGAGGAAGTCAAACTTCAAAGACAGCTGACCCAAAAATGGGCTCGGGTGGGGGGGGGGTGCCCGAGTCCTTGGATAGGGAATAGCGGGTGTCCGAAAACAACATTGGGACCCATTCATCTTCCAAGAGAAAGCTGAAAATTTTGGTTCCACGCAGAACTTGGTGTTTCATTCTTCTCTGGCTAGAGGTCTGACCTCATAACATCTGAGGAGAACCCGGGCACATGTCCAAGGCTGATCCAAATCGCACCGGCCATGGGAAGATCACCTTCGTCACCGTGGCCCCAAGCCGTTGCTCACTAAGGCCTCCCTGGCAATGCCCCTGCATCACGTATCCCATCAACAAGTGGCAAGAAGCTGCCAAACTCCTCCATACCTCCAAAACCCCGACCTGAAAATGCCGCCTGAACGCGGGATTTCGTTGCCCCTTGGCCAAGCGGCGGGCACACGCTCCAGGGCCGCCAACTCTGGCGGCGCCGCCATGCCGCCGCCATGGCGGAGCCCTCCGCGCTCGCTCCGCCGCGGAGCCGCGCGGAGGCGGCCCGGGGCTTGGGCTGAGGGAAGGCTGCGTCACGGCCAAGCAAGACCAACCTACTGGTGGTTGCGAAATCCGTTCGCACCATGAAATACAAAGAGAAACCATGCATGGCTTGTTGGTATTTGCAGGTCATTCCAGGACTTCTTGGGGGTGCAGGAGGTCGTCCTTCACAAACGAGAAAAACTTGCTGGTTATCAGGGAAACACACTAAACAAATGAGCGGTTAAAGATCCGACCCAATTGCCAATAGCAGCCAAGTCCTGGGCATACGGGGCTGGCGTTCAACTAGCACGTTATCATTTCCACACTTTGCCCTAGTTGGCTTCTTCACGTTGTGCAACCCGAGTACTAATTAATGCTGAGGAATCCCGTGAACTCCCCACAAAAGGGGAAATCACCCCAAGTAGCATGACCCCGAGACTCCTCCGAAGTTGACATAGGCGGCAAAATGCACAAATCTGGGAACTGTTCCTGGGCATAGGGCACTCTGAAAAAGGGACCAGAGGCAAAGTGCTCAAACTGATCAGGGTAATGTTACGCTTTCTGTTGCTTTTCGCTTACGAGGCTCACAGGATTCGATCAGCAAAAGCACAGCCCCTTTGAATTTCCAAAGCTCCGCCATCTCCCCCCCCTCCCGAGCTGCACAAGCGGCCCCTCGCGTCCTGCAAACCATGTGCGCCGCACCTCAGCCAGGAATTGCGCGAGATGCACGCCCTCATGGCCTTGTCTCCGAAAAGTCGGAAACTCCAGTAGAGAACTATGGTGTAGACGACTCCACCTTCCACCGGAAGGGAGCTGATGCCCCAGGCATATGGTTCCCATTGTCCTTAAAAAAGAAGAAGTGTCAAACAAAAACAGGTGTCAAACAAAAACACGGCGCCCCGCGGGGGGGAAAAAAAAAGAGAAAACACCGGCCGCAAAGAACCGAAAGCCATGGCCGTTTTCACCTGGCCGATCTCAGTGCTCTCCAATGAAGCTACGCTAGGAAGCACTCCATCGGTTTCCTTTGAAGTTGAACTTGGCCTGCATGGCATGTGTCAAAGGGGCTCGCCCAAAATGGGGCGTTTTTTTTTGTTTGTTCCGATAGGTTTCCCTGTAACAAAAAGGGTGGCCTCAAAAGGACACACACCCGATTGAAAACGATCAGACACCATTTGGTATTGCTGATGATCCATCGCACGTTGGAATCTAAACGGCCGCCAGAGGCCCTGAAATTAAAGGCTAACGTTGGAACATTGACTAGAAGCAGACCACAACCATCGCAAAGGGAAGCAATTCGCCTTGGGGCAAAGGACTGTAGTGAGCCAGTCTAGAATTTAGCTGTGTCAGCCCAACGGATTTTGATTTGCGATAGGAGCAAAACTCCAAACATCCCACATGCAAAGAATCGCAAGACAACTATGCAATGCAAGCGCATGAGGTTGTCTGATCTCCTTATCGTTTCGCAGTACGTGATGCAAGAAAGAGGCAGCTTTGGAGACAAGGGACCTCCTAACGGACTTGCAATGGAATCCGACACTTCACGGAGGTTTTTTTTTTGGTTTATCCTTTTACAAGTTCAACAAGCGACTGCAAGGGCTCCTACGGTAGCAACTTTTATGACACTGAGGTTGCCAACTCGCAAACAGTGCGGTGTTTACACTCTGCTGTCCTGGACTGCGTCCAATAAAGCGACATCCCCAAACAGTCCCCTCTACATTGTAGCTTTTTCGGGAACCCCCCCGCAAAAGAAGAGGTTGTTGTCAAAACCTCTTAATACCTTCTCATTGAATGAACCCAGCTAGAACAACTGCATCCCCGTGCCTCTGCCGGAGTAAGGCTAAGCTCCAAGCGTCAAGCGCATCAAGCAGCCGTGCCATCAGATCGGACACCCGTCGAAAGAACATAAACATCCATTTGCTTCAGCCCCCAAGCAAACCCCAAGTATTCCCAGTAGTGCTAGATATCCTTCAATACCAACAGAGCCAAATCAAACTCCTCTCAGAATCAACTGGAAGGAAACGGGCCAACTGGAGTTTTAGGGAAGGTTGATGGGAATACCTAAGAGTGGATTGGCCCAAAGAGTGACGAAGTCCACTGGAAAAAACGGCTCCATGAGGTAGAATGGGTATGAATTTCAAGAGGAAAAATGGAGCCTTTGATGGACATCATTCTAAGGGTTTCTGTCCACCACCGATTCATTGAAGAGTGTGCCCTATTTGAAACAAAAAAAGAGATCGGATGGAATATGAAGGAGACTGGAGGGGCCCGCGGCCCACAACCTGATATTTTGGAGGGAATGGTTTGACCCTATGAGCCCAAAGACATTTCAGCAAGCCGTCTGACCGGTTCTTGAACATATGTGAAACCAAAATCCTGAACTTGGTCAAACCTAGACCCCTCCAACAAGGCAAGCAGATAAGCAAAGTTTGGCAATGTGTATGGGCCGAATCAACGGGTCGGATTGTTTGACGCAACTCGCTTGCCAGATTGGATCCGCATCGGATCTCGCTGTTTTGGCTTACCCGGAATGGCTTTCTGAGCTTGAGCCAGAGCTAAAGCCGGGCATGGCTTAGACACAAACGCTTTGCCCTGTTCAAGGAAAATAATTATGATGCAACCCCCGAAGAACACACATCTTTCCATTTACCTTTCCTGCGAGACTGAATCCATTTTGACTTTTAGGTCTATTGCCCCAACCAAAATCCGTCATGAAACCCTGCTTCCAGGATATTGACATACTTGCACTCCAGCATGAAACCCCCAAAAAATGTCAACTTCCCAACGAAGATTCCTCGACACATGATTGAGGGTAAAACGGATGTGGTCGGTAGACTCTGGGTACAC